GGATTTTTTAAATATCAACACAAATTTTTCGTTGGTTAATTTTCAAATAGAGGATGTGGAGGCCCAAGGCTCCCGAGGGCTCACAGGCGCTACGCTCCTGACCACCTCAAACACACCATAGTTAGGGCCGGGTAAGAAAATTTATGATATGGCACCTAATGGTATCCTCTACTGAATACACTATATGTCCTACAGTTGATGTGAGATACATTTAATAGTCTTACAGTATGTATCAACAAAGCCCTTTTGGTTTAAAGTGGTAGATCGAAGACCTTATGGGTAGGCGTCCCTTCGGGGCCCTAGGGGTCGGGGTCCCTGTGGACCGCCGCACGAGATGGAATAGGCGTCAAATCACTGATCCACTTCCCTATACTGATCCCCACCCCTCCCGGTCGGAAACATCAGACCTCCCGTGGGCAGAATAGTATTTAGAATAGTGTTGCTTTTCAAGTAAACCCTAAATTTAACATTTGGCATAATTTTCCATTAGCCCTTGTTATAATTTGATTCGCATCACTGGTCACACTGGATCTGTCATGCTTCTAACGTTCCTGTTCGTAAACTATGCTATAGGTTGAGTTTTCTTTTATTCAAGATCTTTCATCGGCCTGTTTATTATCATTACACGACCTTTCAAACGTTCATGATGATTGGCGCCCGTTACTTTCCCCTTCCTTACCACAGGTGTCACCTTGATTTCCCAGGTTGGTGACGTACTGCCACAATATTAAAATACTACATCATGTACTGTAGGTTGCCTAGGGAAAATAGGGAAATTGGTTCCCGTTCCCTTCTTCACTAACAGTGGTCTTTTAACCTGACCAGTGTTGCCAGTTACAGGAAAGCTCTACTCATGCAAACTGCCAACTTCTGCTTGTGTTTGGCCGAATGCTGCTGCCCATTGACAAACACCTTTGCGACTGTGTCTACGGTCTACCTTTAGATAGATATCCGCTATCTGGATGGCCTTGTTACGTAGCCTGAGGATAGGATCTAGATTGGTTGCCGCTTCCTGGTTTTTGTCATTGGCGGTGCTAACTGGCTGTACTGATTCACCATTACCATAACTGCCTCCCCATCCCCAGTCCCCAACTCCATTGCCTGACGAGGCTGTAACTCAAACTGAAATCGGGTTACACTTCCACGGTCTGAGGTTTGCTGTCTACTAATGTATTACTATATAGCTTGGTAGATAAGGCGACTATTCAACCAATCCTAAAAGTTCTGGGTTCGAATTCTGTACAATTCTACATGTGTAATAAAAGAATAGTAGATATTTTGCTATTACGCTTTATACAACAATATTCTGTGTTCGTATTACAACAAAACGTATTACAACTAAACGTATTATTGATAGGTGATTTAATAAATTGTATAGGACAATTCTCTGTGGTTTACATGGATGACTTCCGTTCCGGTATGGATAATCCTAAAGCTTAAGCGTTAAAGTTTTATACTAGCGTGTATTTAAGGTAAGTTTATTCATAGAGAAAATAGAACTGTTCTATTTTCTCTATGGTTTATTTAGGCCTATTTAAAAACGAACATTATAATTTATTCAATTTAACTGAGAGATGGCCGAGCGATATATTTCACAAATGAAATATATTATGTATCAATGCATTCAATTGTAAATGGAGGACTTTAATTTGTTGTCAGTGGTAAGCCTATGTTTTGTTGAAGTTTGTATCGTACACTCTATTTTTGAAACTCATTTAAGGGACAGTTCCCTGATTATATTACTTTGTGACTCACGAAGAAATATTCTGCAGTCGTTATTTAGCGTGGGCTATATAAAGGATCAGTCAAATTTTGAAACAGTCAAGCCGCCAAGATTTGCCGACGGAGGAGGTGAGGGATAAGTTGTTCCACATGGGACCTAGCGTATAGCACACGAACAAAAATAGTTTCTTTCTGTTTATTATATGGACAAAAATGTCCTAGTACAATAGGTACACACAGTATCATTGACACTTTAAACTGTCATAAGATGGCTGTTTTTGTAACCGATAACGATAACAACTCTGTAGAACATTACATTCTAGAAAATTATCACAATTCTAAATTAGTAATTCTAATAATATCAAAACTATAGTGCATACCTCAGTCTAACCTGTGCCTGAATACAGAACAATGCACAGTCCAATAAATAAACTAGATATTATTTAATAAAACATTAAGAACTGAATGTGACTGACCGTTATAATGTCTGAACATTTTGAAATACGGGCCCGGAAACTGTACTCTCATACTTTAAAAATCTTACCGGTACTAAAAATAATATAACAACAATACAACAGTCAATTTAGATGGTGGGGAGGTGGGGGTGCGGTCGCGCCGTTTGCACTCTCCCTGCATCCGCCCCAGAAGTAGATTATCTGTATATTGCACTAATACGTGTTTCATAACAACTTGGCCAAAGCGCTTCTTTTTTCCTTTCATCTGTTTAATTTGTCCAGTTCTTACCGGCTTGGCTTGTTTCTTCTGTGGATTGTTTTGCCTTTTTTATTATTATTATTATTATTATTATTATTATTATTATTATTATTATTATTGTTATTGTTATTGTTGTTGTTGTTGTTGTTGTTGCTGTTGCTGTTGCTGTTGTTGCTGTTGCTGTTATTATTATTATTATTATTATTATCATTATCATTATCATTATCATTATCATTATCATTATCATAATTATTATTATTATTATTATTATTATTATTATTATTATTATTATTATTATTATTATAATTATTACTACTACTATTTTATTTTAAGTTTAATCTAAATAATTTAGATTACTCCAGGAGCCTAATTACAGGCCTTGGCCTCCTTAGTTCCCGGCACTTGTTTGTAGGCCCTCTACTGTAGTACCGGTAGGAATTAAGTGAACAAGTGAATAAAGTAAAAGTAAAGTAATACAATGTAGAGCTATTTACCATCTATTTACATCTATTTACATCTTCCTGCCCTTATCTTCACAGTTCTATATGCCACACCAAACATATACAGTACTTTCCACGATTCGTCATACAAAGTTAGTTGACGAACACTATTTTTATGCTTTAAAACTACTATTAAGTCTATGTTAAGGAATGTACTCGAGAAATACAAGATTAGTTTTGGTCTGTGCATGTCCGTATCACCGTCAATCGACATTGACAAATATACACTTAACTTTTATGTGGATTGACCTTTGATACAGGCATGCGCAGTTCAAACTACGGATTGGCTTATTATATGAATTGCTTCCTTTTGATTTTGTCGGATTTTGCTTTCATTAATTTTGAATAAATATGTGGCGAACAAAAAATAAATAAATAAATAAATAAGAACGTTGTGAGGTTGTGAAATTAGGTTATAAGTACGTAAATATGGTTCTACAAAATAACGTATTTATCACCAAACTGCAACGTTATTATAACGTTCTTAGAACGTAATATTGTTAGCGTAATCGAAAGTCAATCGTACAATGCGACGCTCATTAGTCCTAATAACTTCGACGCTTTAATTCTGGGTTTCCAGAGCATCCATCTCGTGCTGAAAACACGCGACCAAATCTAGAGGTTGCATAACAAGGGAAACATAGTCACGGTGCATCGACAGCAATTCCATTGTCTATGATAAGAAAATAGCAAAATAACACTGTTATCAATAATATGTATAAGTGAATGAATGGTAGAAGAATGTTCTACCTTATCATTGCTATTGTACATCTATACGTGAACATGGTACTAAAATCCTCTGCAATATAAAGGGTAGGTCTAGCAGATCTACTTCTATCAACATCATCATCATCATCATCATCATCATATTCAACATCATCATCATCATCCTCATTATTATCATCATCATCATCGCGATTGCTGTTTTTGTTGCCGTTATTTTTGTATTTTAGTTTTATCATTCAGTCATTTAATATTTATTTAATCACCAAATTTAACGAAAAATGATACAAAATCCAACAATAGTGAAGAGACCAGAAAACGAACTGGCTCGAACATAGTATTGTTATTGTGTTAGTATGTCGGAACATGGTCAAAACAATAACATATCTCATGCTTTGCATAAATGTCGTCTGATTATGAAACTACAAAAATATATCGGTACTTATAATTAATTACATTGTTAAAATAATTAAAATTGGAAAATTCAGTTAAAAATTAAATATTGTTAATTACCTAACAAGCTATAATAGGCCTATATAATTAAGAATTATTACAATACAATACTGTCAGTGAAATACAAAAGAAACGTTCAGAAGTAAGCCCTGAAGTAGTTTACTTGTCGTAAGCACAAGAAAGATAAGGGATAGGCCCTCAGAGTAGCGCCTTGTAGACGCACTAACCGTACTTCAAAGCTCGCTAGTAAATGCGACCCTTATTACAAAATGAGTGCAAAATAATATTTCCTATGATATGTAAACCTTTGTTTACGTATTCGTAATTATCACTTCCTGAAAATTTGCATAATTACTTCTACAAACTAGCTTTGAAGTAAAAAGGACATTATGCGCTGGGTAAGCATCGTCTGGACACTCGTCAAAAGTAACGCGCGCGTAAATTATTACGTTTGTGGTAAGGTCGTCTGAACATACTTAATAATGCTATACTGATTAGGAGCTATACAATGTAAACAATTGTGTTTTGCATCCTGGGGATTGCCTTATGATGCTGTATTATTGCGTCATACATAATGACGTCAGTTCAGTGCTTATAATAACTCGCACGCTATGTTATCAAATTATTTTTGTTTTGTTTTGACGGTTTCCTTTTGGGTTTGTCTGTATTTCTTACCTGATCTTTAGTACAATGATGGCCAAGTGGTAAGCAATTTATAGCAGTCACGCAAGTACCGGTAAAACGCCCTAACTCTGCCGGCTTAATTGTCTTCTTCTTTAAGCCTGCCATTGCTGCCAAACCCTCTTCATCTACTCTATCAACCTTAAATAATGTAATAGATAATATTACATCACTAATATTATCTCTATATTATTTAATTAAACAGTATTATGAAGTGAAATAATATAACATATAGAGGAAAGTAACTGCTAAGTGGCACCGTCTATTGTAAAGGTCACACTTTTTCTTTCCCTTCGGTGCGCGGCGCCTGGCTCGATGCTTTGCGTCTTCATCATTCGTATGTTTCAATTTAGTTCCCAAATTCAAGTAGCCGCAACAGGTTGTAGCAAAACACAGCAATGAATACAAAATAAACACTGACATTTTCTGACGTGCTTTGGGTTTTCTTTTATAGAAATACTACTTATTATATAATTATTTTATATAGCCATATATAAGTATGTGTATATAAATTTAACCATAACAGAAGAGGATATATAAACAAAAATGAGCTTTTGGAATTTCCAATCGATAAAAGAAAAATCAGAATAAGGATAAGAATGTTCAAATAACAAGGGCAAATAAAAAGGCTCAACAATTACCTAAAAATTTATTTTTAATAAATTGGAAAATTCTGCTGGAATGATTCATTTATGTTATGATTCTGGAATTTCTCGGGAAAAAGTTATATTAATAGTACAACCCTGGTCAGGTGCTGTACCTCGATTGTTATCATTGATAGTTAGAGTGTAAATGTTTGCCTTACGTCAAAGGTATTAACCATAATGACTCATGGTCATGACTGTGTTCCATGTTAGATGACAATAATTTCATACTCGAATGATCACTTTTTTATTTGACAGACTGTTTAGTTAAGGGATAATCTTCACTAAATGGGTAAAGTGATATTTGGAACGTTTTATAGCACTCTATTCCTAGAGAATTCGCAAAATGTACCGGTACATAAAAATATAAGGCTTCCACAGTAAAGCAATAATAAACTCATACGATTATAATTATAGGCCTAGATTATTTTTATTTAATAAAATTGAGGCACAAATGCCAAAAATATGCAATACAGAGCGAATTTTTTATTTACTTTCTCAGTTGCAATTCCCCATGACCGTTTCCCCTTATATTTTCGCAATGTGTTAACAACCCAGAAATGATTCTTAGCCACCCCGTATCGTCTTCAAAATCAAATTGTCTGTACCTGAAGTTCACAAAAAAACACCCCGAGCTAGCTACTAGAGAACAGATCTATTTAATTCGAAAGTCAGTGATCGCTTACAGTACCTTTCTTCCTTCTAGTTTGAAACCAAGGTCAGATTCATTTTCTTGTAGTTCGATGGTCACAACTTTTCCATATGGAATTCGAACAATTACTAAGTCCACCTGAAGAGAATTACATTAAATAATAATTCATATTATGCTGATAAATTATTTAAAAGTTGTATTTAGGCCTACTGAATTTTATTTTTCTACATTAGTGCCATTCGATATGATTTTTACAGTTGTTGTTTATCATTGTTATTTCAATTATTGTTTTATTGTTATTATTATTATTATTATTAATATAATTATTTTTATTGCTATAATTGTTATCATCATCCTTTTTATTATTAGGCCTATTAATAATATTGTTGCTATTATTATTATTATTATTATTATTATTATTATTATTGTTATTATTATTATTATTATTATTATTATTATTATTATTATTACCAAAACCATTCAGATTATCCTTATCATTTTTTTACAATTACTATTATTACCATTACTCTTACTACTTTCATTAACATCATTAATAATAATAATTATTATTATTATTATGGTAATGGCTGTGTACTTGTATTATTATAACTATTATTATTAGTAACGTTGTAATTATAACGATAACTATCATCAATGTTTAGGTATATTTCAGTATGACTCGATTTCTGTAGTTCGAGTTGCATATGTTTTTGTGAAGACATGTTTTTCTTTTATTACCGTATCTGTAGCTGTGTTCCGAATAGTTCTCAAAGCATCCTGGATTGAGTCAATACTCTGTTTGTTAATCATCGTGATCATATCACCTTCGTATAATGTATGATTAAGTGATGAGTTTTTCAGTCCTGCGATGCTGTTGGGAAAAATTTTTTTATTTATTGTAATTAATGTGGATGGTAGCTGTAAGCCTAATATTGGTAACAGATTAGAGTCTGGAATGTTATCGGAGTACTACTAGAGTGTTTTTAGTAATACAGCACTGGCCTAATCAGTGGCGGATCCATGCATTCAATATAGAGGTGGTCCGGGAGAGACTTACAGACAGAGATCAATGGTCTAGAGCATTTCTTGAATTTACCACTGCTAATAGTCGATGCAGTGCAGTGGTGGGGGTATAATAATAGTAGTAGTGATGGTAGGAGTAGTAGTAGTAGCAGCAGCAGCAGCAGCAGCAGCAGCAGCAGCAGCAGCAGCAGCAGTAGTAGTAGTAGTAGTAGTAGTAGTAGCAGCAGTAGTAGTAGTAGTAGTAGCAGCAGTAGTGGTAGTAGTAGTAGTAGCAGCAGCAGCAGTAGCAGCAGCAGTAGTAGTAGTAGTAGTGGTGGTAGTAGTAGCAGTACTAGTAGCATTAGCAGTAGCAGCAGCAGCAGTACTAGCAGTAGTAATATCATTAAATTAAAGAAAGGAAAACTTACAACAGAACTCTAGTGTTAGGCATCATCGATAAAACGACATTTCCTTCTAGTTTATTCTTACTGACTGAAATCATTAGTGACTCTTGACTCATTTCTTGCACTAGATGTTTCGTATGACTCCTGCTGCTGTCTCCTCGTTCTCCAAATTTATTGACTTTTGTATTAATTGAGCAATCTGGCATTCTTGATTTTAGATTATTAGTTCTCTTTCGAAATGTGTTAGGACTGCCATTATACTCCTTTGGGTTACTTGAAAAAACATGTTCAATATTTTTCTTTTGTATATGTGGTTCGAGGTATTCTTCTTTTATATTGTTACAATTCACATTTTCACTTGTCACATCGACTGGCCCAGCGCCAGTCGATGTGACAGTTGATGTTTTGTCAACACTTGCAACAGGTAGTCTGTCGACGCTTGCGATTGGCTCAACAGGATCATCAATTCCCATTCTATCGACACTTGAGACTGGTTCAACTTTGCTATGTCTTACTTGTGGTCTGTGTGGAAGAGCTGGTGGGCCTATCGTCTCGCGTGAAATACAGCTTTCGTATCCGAGCACGTTACAATGACGCTCGTTTAAGTATGATCCACTGGATTGTACATTGTTATTGCCTTGTGTTTCTGTGTACGCCATATCGTTGTTCATTTCAGTCATGTTAACTTTGGGAGGAATATAATTGTAAGTTGCTTCAACAGACTGTCCATCGGCATACTGGAATACAATTGTAAACATACATTATGATAATTATCTGGAACACTGCTCATTGGCTCATGCATAATAATCAAACATTGTGTTAAGGGCTACGGACGTAAGGGCTCATTTTTTGGGGGTTTTTTTCGATTTTCCGATTTTCTAACATACATTTCTATCACTTTGTGCAAGATCAATATTCTAAAGTTTGAAGAGCCTACTATAGAAACACACACAGAGCAAAACAATTTATATATGTTTGTTTCAACAGTAAGAAGTTAATTAAAACAATATATAGCCTAACGTTAACATAAAATTACAGCAAAGAGGGTATAATCAGGTCTAGTATAATACAAATATAATCGTTGCTTTCCATGAAATCCTTTGGACTAGGCCTATAATAAATATTCCTAAATACAAAATAGTTTACAGATTACCAATCTAACATGCTTTTATATTTTAGTTTTCATAATAGAATTCAAAATAAAGATATATAATTAGGCTACAGCGCTAGACACATTGGGATTAGAGATACCAGCTGATCGCCGGATCACATAAAAGGCCGTTAACTCTGAGAGATTTGTTTGTTTTTATTGTTTTTACCACACAGATAATAATAATAATAATAATAATAATAATAATAATAATAATAATAATAATGGTAATAATAATAATATTTTAATTTCCTAAAAAAAAAAAATAACAGGAAGAGGGAGAAGCTAAGGAGGAACAAAGTTCCTATACAGTGTTTGCCAACCCCAAAACATCAAACATGCAAACAAAGCAAATGAAGAAAGAACAGTCACCACAACAAGGACACCCAGCAGAAACATAAAAAAAAAATATTGATGAAGAGATCGTCTCACATAATATAAATTAATTAACGGTAAACAAAATAAATTTTAAAAAATAAATAAATAAAAAATAAATAAATAGAAAATAAATAGATAGATAGATAGATAGACAGACAGACATACCGACACACTCACACACACACACTGACACAACGACAGGAAACTCGCCTTACATGACAACTCGCCTAAATAACCAAGCTTCCAATTACCTGATGAAAATCAACTAAGCATGCTTTGTAAACCAATTCTTATTGACTGTTAGAAATAAACAAAACAATTTAAACTCTAGATTCTCCAATAGCTTTACCTATTTAACTCCTAAAATACAGGTTAATTAAAAGTGTAACTTACCCCGTCAAGCAGAACGGGCACAGCACTAATTGCTTTCCTTCTTTTAACAGATGTTTTAGGTCTAATTTTTCGCTGTGATGCTATCCTGATTTTAGGATTTTTCGGATCGGTCTCCGTGTTAAAGTCGAAACCTAGTCGGTTCAATAAGTTAACAATGGTATCATACCATTTTGCCATTAGACTTTTATTTTGGAAGATCAAATGATTTACGTTGACACCAATCTCAATACACAGTGCGTTGTTGCTGCGCGACGGAGAAATTGAAATCGAATCACAGTTGGAAAGATCTATCGTGAACGGTAACTTTTCATCCTTAGGGTAATTACAGGACATTTTTCCGTTGCTTAAAAGAGTCAATGTGACATCGTCTCTGTGCTAGAAAAAGCAAAATGATATATGCAAACGTGA